TAAAATGGTCAAATGCATTGAATAAAATTTGATTATTTATTGAAAATTGAATGGATAACCCTGAAAATGAATTAAACTAATCAAATAAATTGAATGAAACCAATTGATCAAACCGATCGAGTGAAAGGATGATTTATTCAAAATCGACCGAATTGCCCTAAAAATAGGTAAATTGGTCAAATGGATCGGATGATTTATTCAAAATTGATTAGATCACCCTAAAAAGGGCAAATTGTCGAATGAATTGATGATTTATTCAAAAATCGACCGGATGACCCTAGAAAAGGGTAAATTGGTCAAATGAATGAAATGGAGTTAATGATTTACTCAAAAATCGGCCAAATCACCCTAAAAGGGTAAATTGGTCGAATGAATTGATGATTTATTTAAAAATCGACCGGATCGCCCTAAAATAGGTAAACTGGTCAAATGGATCGGATGATTTATTCAAAATTGATTAGATCACCCTAAAAGGGTAAACTTGGTCAAATGAAATTGAACGAATCTGATGATTTGAATTTATTCAAAATCGATTGAGTTGACCTAAGAATGGGTAAACTAATCAAATGAATTGAATGAAATTGGTGATCTTATTCAAAAATCGACTAGATTGCCCTAAAATGGATAAACTAGTCAAATGAATTCAAAATCGACTAGGTTGCCCTAAAAATGAACAAATTGATAAAATGGACTGGATGAAATTGATGAATCAAATGATCCAATGGACTGAATGGCTTGATGCATTAGTCTATGAGCCTTCTAAAATCAAATTTTGGCCTCAGTTTATTTATCGTCTCATCAGTGAGGAAATATTGGTGAATGTTCCAATTAATGTCCTTTTTGCAAGGGATTTTTACCAATTTGATAAAATGGCCAAAAAGTGATTGTTAGACGCTCATATTCCAAAGATTGCTCTATGAAAATGATCGGATCCTACCTTACCTTGTGCACTACCCCTTTGGATGGTACAAAATGTAAACGTGCAAGTCTCCTTGGATTAAGTATCCGAGACACAAGGTGGCTTATTCCTAACACGGGATCCCCTAAATGGCATTCCCTTCTAAGGCAGATGCATGATGCCAGTTTATTAAAGCAATAAAACATGCGATTTAAAGAAAAACGTGCTCTAAGGAGCCCTTTATTGTGAAGACCCGAAAATTTCTTATTTTTTTTCGAATATTAATGGTTTCATTAAGTATTTATCCACCTGTTTTCCCCAAATAATTTATTACGACCATTTTAAATCCATTCGTATGGAATAATGTCTTCATTGTGTTTTTAAAATGTCCCGTTAACAACTTCAATTTTCGGAAGGATTGTTTAAGTGCGAGATAGTGAACACGAGTGTTTCGAGGTGATATTATATTCGAGAGCATGATTATCCTGGGGAAATTAAGAACGGACAATAGCAGATTAAGAAAAGTTAATCGAGAATTAAAGGTGAATAAGTTCTAAGTGAGCATATACTACTCACGCGTGGATAGTTTTCCAAAAGACGCATGGATACAAATTTATTGGAGATTTGAGGAGTTAATACTCGACTCATGTGAGGACTCGTAAAAACTATTATTTTATTTAAACCTAATTTATGGCTTAATAAATTATTTAATTGGATTTTTGCCACGAGGAATATTTTCTAGTCTTATTAGACCTAAATACATGGTAATATAACTTCGTTATATTTTTAAAATGATTCGTTTCAAAAATTAATTTCCTAGAGCGCGTTTAGTAAAAATAGTGAATAGTGCTTGGAGATTTTAACCGCGTAGGAGCACAGTGAACTTGGAATATTGGAGACTTGTACTACGGTCCTAAAATAGGTAATATTATGAATAAATACTCAAGTGATAGTTAGTAGTGCAATCGTTATAAGAATTTCTCGGCAGTTTCGCGTTATAACGTTAAAATTGACGGTACGCGTTTTCACACACGCGATTTTGTTTGAGGGACTTTAGACCCTTATTTCGGGACAATTAAGAGTGAATAATATTTACATGAATATAAATGCATTGGAGGTTTAGTGCACTAGTGAACCAAACGCGCGAGAAAATCGAGCCTAAAACGTGCCAAACGAGCCCTAATGAGAGTTGACTTTGGAGTGAATTTACACCACTCATTTAATCTTCTCTTGGAAGCTAACTTGGATCAAAATTCACTCTCTCTTCTCTCACCAAGAGTGCCGACCAGTCTTCCCTCTCTCACTCACTCTCTTGCTTCACAAATTTCTTCACTAAATCAACCCAAAACCTCAATCAATCTTCACCAAACTTGGAGATCATCTAGCAAACTACTTGGAGGTTGGATTTAGCTAACAAAAAGGGCTGCATTTTCACGGTTTCTTGGAGCTCTTGAGGACCGAAAATTTCTGGTTAAGGCACTAAGGAGGTATAACTTCATCCTACACCTTAAACTTGAATTATGATGGTAGAAATGCATCTTTAAGCTAGTGCATGTGTATGGATGGCTTGATATGGTTGTAAAATGTGAAAGTGGGCTCTTTGTATTCCCACACTTGGGTTGTTGTTGCTGATTAGAGGATTAATGTTGGATTTAATGGTTATAATGATGGATTCATGGAGTATTATTGTTGGAAACTCAAAGTAGAGGTCATGACAAGAAATTTCCGAAACTGCCCCTGTTTTATTCGGCCACTATAAGGCCAATTTTTGGTGATTTATTGGCATGAACCTGATGTTTATATGTTATATTAGATGTGTGAAAAATTTCATTGAAAAATAATAAGGTTTGGTTGGGCAAATGAATTTTTTTTGGGGAAACTAGCAAATCTGGAAACTGTTCACGTATGGCTCAGACCAGCGGTGGTGTTTTGGCTATAACTCTGTCCTCGGATGTCGAAATCATGTGCCGTCAGTGGCGTTTGAAACTAGACATTCCAGGATTTAATTTGAGATAAAATGTACGTTCTGATTCTTTGTGAGTGAGCCGAACCAAACGTTTTAAGATCACTGTCCTGTCTCTCGGATCTGCTGGAATGGTTTGTAGAGGCAGCAACTTGAGGCTCAATTTCGAGCTGGTTGCTTGCCAAATTTTGAAATGATTTCTTCTGTGAACTTTTAGTCCTATGAATGTATTTTCCAACGCCATAAACCACACTCCATTCCGAGTTAAATTGAATGCGTTGTGACCAAAATAAGAAGACTGCCCTGTTTTGGAAAAAAACGTAACATTTGGACTGGTTTTGGACAAAAACCGTGAGTGATCTTATTAATTGAAATTTCGATGCTAAACCATTACCAAAGGTATCATGGTTGTATCTTAGACCTTTATTTCACAAATGAACCACGGTTGGATAGTTTTCTTGGTTAAACGATTTGAATTTGGGAAATGAAAGTCAAAAGGCAGATTGCCTTAGGAATTTTCCGAAACTTTGGATGATTAGTTAACTACCTTCCGAGGGTATTTTTCCCTGAATTTTGACAGGGAGATACCTTCCATATAGTATTGAAATACTGCCAATTTTGGTGTCAATCCAAGTTCGTTTCGATACCTAATTAAATTTCTAGAGTTGGAGGTTCAAATCTGGAAAATTCTTCTCCAGTCTTGAATTTTTCCCAACTTTGAGCTACCGTATCTCGGCACTCAAAACTCCGATTCTTGATCCGCTTGCTTTGCTATACACCTCACTTGCAACTCTAATTGGGTTACAAATTTCAGAGGCCGGTTTGCAACGTGTAAATCGTGCCGAATTTTCAAAGTTGGCCGAAATCCAACTTAATGCTGCCTTGAAACCAAGTCTGCACCTTCAAGCCCATTTTTGAGCACTTTCCACTTCGATTCATGGAAAAGTGTCTTCTAGGAAATTATAGTACTTTCTAAGAGGTTTCCAACGGTATAAAGTTTTCCAATTTTTGACTTGTACCGAGTGAGTTACGATTTTTCAAAGATTCATGATAAAGCTGAAAATTTTCCAATTTCAGAGAAATAGAGTTTTTTCAAGAACTCTTTACACTTTTGATATTATCTAAACGTTTTGCCCACGATTTTCATGATAAAAAACTCAACTAATATTATACTTCATAAAACGCAAGTTGAACCTCGATTTACGAGTAATTGAGGTTCATTTTTGTGAAATATTCCTTAGATCGTACTAATGTACAATCTTACTTGATAATTGAGATACTTGAGTAATTATCTACCATTAACTGCCAGGCACACAAGGAGACCTTCAAGAGGATCTCACCGTGGACACTTGAACTCCAGCGAATAATCTTTATTGATTAGCTCGGTGAGTGTCAAGTGTGTGAATCTTGGATACTTGCTTAATTGTGGTAATTATTAGAGATTTTAAAAATAAGGGCGGTTGTGTACTTTATCGCATCCGTTCTAATTTCAAATGAATGAATGAAATGTATTGAATGAATGAATGAAATGTATTGAATGAATGAATGAAATGCAATGCTATGTAATGGTTACATATGTCGTTGGAGTGAATCTCCTCGACTTCCAAATGAATGGGGGACGCCCAAACTCATAGGCCGACCTTGAACTCGAGCCGGCAATGGGCTTGGTCGGGAACTTGGGCGAGCCATGAGATTATAAGCTCGACCTAATAAGAGGTCCTGCTTGGCATACTCGTAAAGTATCGCCTTATAACAGACTTGTGGGCCCTTAGGGTGTACGGTGGACGGAGGGAAGTAAGTGGTGATCTACGGAAATGGAAATACCGACCCGGTTGACAGGAGGGTCAATGCGGGAAGGTATACGAATGACATCGGCAGAGTGAGTGGAACTTAGCTCCTGAGAGCTACTATATCCTTGAATTGTTTCTGATTATTTTTCCTGCTCAAATGGTACTTTATTGAAATATCACGGTTTTATTTAATAAAGTTGAGATTTCTATTTGAACAATGTGCTTGCATGTGTGTCCTTGGCCTCACGAGCGTTTTGCTCACCCTGTAGATTTGTTTTCCTTAACAGGACTGAAATTGAGTTAACGTGGAGAAATCTCCTTTTGGATATATTGTGTTTTAGGGTTTCAGGTGTATTTTGGCTTGACCCCTTTATGATTGTACTTTGGAAGTTTAATGTATCATTCGGATATCTGTGATGTATATTTTGAAATTTAAGTTGTATTATGAACGCACGACGTGCGGGTGGCAAGCTGATCGGTACCTTGTGATGTAACCATGAGAACTGTCACAGGTGGTATCAGAGCCATATGCCGACAGTTGGGACTTTACGTCCTTCGTCTGGAAAAGCCCCGAGCCTCTCGTTCGTGAAGAGTCACGAAGCGAAACTCTCCGTAGGGGATGCCCGCGTGCGGGTGGCAAGCTAATAGGTACCCCGTGATGTGACCCTGAGAACTGTCAATGGATGGATATTGTTAAGCATGAACGTTTCCGCACTATATGTATTCGTATTAATTTGATTTTGGTATCTAGTATCGCTTTAAGGTTGAACGTTATTGCTTGAGTCCTAGCGAGAGCTAGGCAGGCGTTCCGCGGATACCCTTTGGTGCGCCTTAGGGAGAAGTGGGGCGTCACATTTATACTCCAGGGTAAGCCTAAAAATGACATGCCATTATTAATTTACGAATGAAATATGTCAAAATTTCTAAACGTTCAATAACCTATCTATAAGGGTAGGTCCTAAAAAGAGGATCGTGCCAGACCTCTTATTTCCTAACGTTTGTGAATGCAAAAGACAAGAGACAAGGAAAGTTAGTTCAACACATAACCACATAACACGTTGGACAATTTAGATAATATAAAAAGCAACAAAGATATATAAGGAAAGGGGGTGGATCCCTCCCTGGTGAATGGTGTCCCCTAAATAGGGTAAGGTCGACTCTACCCTAGGCAATTCTAATATGGATGCATGAGGTATGGGCTAACTAATGCATCTAGACTCGATAGGTTCATAGGTCCCCGAGCCTTCAGACTTGGAAACCAAGGTCATCAATCCCAAGGTTTTGTCGGTGGCTCGAGCGATTCCCCAAACACCGCTACGCACACATCGTGTCACCGCTACGTGTTTGAGTGAATCTATCAAAAATCCTCACCTTCGACTAAAAGCTAAAGCTAACAACCCACAGCTTAAAGCGGAAGATTGAGTGACCCATTGGATCATGCTACACACACATCGTGTCGTGATCACACGTCAAGTGGGTCGCCAAAAATCCTAATAGGGTGGAGTGGTGTGACAAGCCACTAAAAGAAAAATAAATGAGGGGTAAATAATAAAGCGTATGCACGTATGCTAGTGCTCGTTTGGAGGGGAGGGATCGAGAACCAACGCGAGCTCTAGGGTAACACACCCCCCCAAATGCAATGCAAGCGCGAGATAAAACAAGTACAACATACATCCAAACAACCCAATCGTACATACGTGAGTGAGGGAATAGTTTTGATAGCGCACGCGAGGCAAAAGGCCCTAAAATGGAAAATGCAACCCTAATATCCAAATGCTATGCATAAGAAGGGTAGAAAAAAAGGAAAAAGATAGCTAAATCGAATGCTTGGACCCACTTAGGAGCTCCCAGTGGAGTCGCCAAGTTGTCGCGCCCACTTTTTGAATGTGGTATGTATAGTGTGTGAGATATGTATGTGAACGTGTGTGAAAGTGAAAAGAAAAGGCCGTGGGATTGAAATGCGACGGTTTGGCCAAATAAAGTTCAAAAGGGTTTTTGGATAAAAAATGGAGTCGCACTTGGTATAGAGTTAGGGTGTACGAAGTCACCCAAAAATGATTTTTATTTTTGAAAGAAAGAAAAAAAAAGTAAACAAACCCTTTTAAAGAACTTTTTAGGTCTACGTAACCAAAGAAAGGGATCGGGGGTCACATTTGATTAGGGAGAAGGCAAAGGCAAAGCCTAAGGCACTCCTTACCCTAGCCAAAGCTAGTTGCGTGACTTAGCCCCTTTTCCTAATTATTCTACCCAAGGTATGTATCGCATGTTGGATATGACTAATGGATGCGAAAAGGAAAGAAAAATGCAATCCTAAACCTAAAATGTTTCTCATGAGGCTTTTAGGTCCCAACCACATGAATTGTGGTGGCCAATAAGGAAAGCTCTCATGGAAGTCGTGATTAATGCAAGTGAGGACTTAAGTGTAAGTGTGCAAGTGTGAGAAAATAAAGGTGTTTGTGTGTGCAAATGAATGAAAATAGGATAGTAGATACATATAAGTGCAATTGGATGCCATTTGTGAGATAGAAAATAAATAATAAAAGAAGAAAAATGTGCAAACATGGCATGTGGATTGAGAAAAATATAAGTAGTTAGAAAATGTGGATGAAAGAGTGAGGAAGTGATATGATAAGAATGAGAGTGCATGAACCTAGAGGTATGCATCAAGTCGGGTACGGGAATGACTCCTAATTTCATGACTTTAATTTTCCCTTTGATTAGAAGGAAGAACTAGCGTGCTAAGGCTATTTTGTAGCCACACTCGCTCGTTTCCCTTACCGAAAGGGGACTCTCAAGCAAATGTACCCTATAACTAGCATGAGAATGCAAAAACCTAAAATGAAAGGGAAAGGATTGGAGGATCATGCCAAATGCTAGAAAACTAAGAAAAATGCATGAAATGTAGTGAAACATGCAAGTGTTAACTAGCGGGAGAAATCCCTAATGGTCTAGCGTTGGACTAGCCCATATCTATGAATTCCTACTAGCGTTGGACTAGTGGAAAACGGATAATGAGCCACAACTAGCGTTGGACTAGTGTGGTGACGTGCATTCATCCATCACATTCATCTATGACTATAGAAAGCAAGTAGACATGCCAACCACCTATAAACACGTAGCACATAACACTTAGCATGCTCGACTAAATGCAAGAGCCTAATAAAGCAAATTAACACGTAGCAACAAAAGCAAGCAATCAATTTAATGAACCTGTTACATTTGCTAACTAAAACAAAAGGGGAAGGGAAAAATGGACAAAAATGCTCTCCAAGCCCTATCTATTACAAGCCAAGAGGTGTACACATACCCCATAAAGAATAACTTAAATAAAAAACAAAAGTAAATGAAATAAATGAAAGGAATTAAGGAAAGGCAAGGAAAGCAAAATACCCATGCAATTCTCACTTAGCACGTTGGAACACATAGGAGCAATGAAAATCAAGGAGATGGAGGTTACCTCCCTTGCAATTGGGCCCCAATGAAATGAAATCACTTATTTGCCCTCCAAAATACGAAGGAAAGGTCAAGGCACCACTTTAATTAACACAACAATCATAAAGATAAAAATGAACCATGAAATTGAATCAATTAAATCATATAAACAACCTACATTCAAGAAATTAAAACAATGAAGGACTTGATTGCAAATATTAACTAAGCTTTGGGGTCAAATTATAATCATCATAAAAATCTAGGGTCACAATCAAAGAAAAATAAAATTCAAGGACCTATATGCAATTAAATTAAGGACCCAATTTGAAAGAAAATGAGTTCCTAGGGCCACAGCATAATTAAGAAAAGTCTGAGGATTGATTTGCAAAATCGTTTTCTGGTTTCTTAATGGACTAAGCCATTGGGCCAACTTTTGTCTATTTTTGGGCCAAAGATCCCTTCAGCCTGCCGCAAAGCCCAGAGGCTACATATGGGCTGGCTTCTACTTATCCATCAAACAAACCCAACCAAAAATGTTGGGCTCTATCTTCCTAAGCCCAAGTCAAAAATTTAGCAAAATAAACTAAACCACTTCCTTAAACCCAAACAAAATAACCTCTTAATCCAAAAACACTTGTTTCACTAAAACCCATCATGATAAAAATCAAATAGAATTATTAATCATAATCATAACCTAAAATCAAGAATTAATTTACCCAAAAGATTACTTAAAAAAATGAAAAGATAATAAAAATCTAAAAGGGCGAATTAAGTCAACTTTTCCAATTTCGAGTCCTATCAGAAATTAGGCAAAAGCCAAGGGACAAAGGTTAATATATACAAAACATGAAGAGACCTAAGCTCTGGGGTCAATTTGAAATTAATTCAGGACCCAATTGAAAAAGATTAAAAGTTTTTAGGGCCAGATCAGGATTTTGAATGTTATCATCTTCTTTACCGAGAAACTGAAGCAATCACAGTTAACATTGCCGTTGTTGTTGATCAACAATACCAGAGATTTATTTCAATTCCAAACCAACGAAATCCAGCCAGAACAAAAACAAAACTCATCTCCTATCGCTGACTCGGATTGGAGCAAGAAACAGAGAAACATAACAAAACAGCAATTCATCCAGATTTCTCAAATGCAAGGAAGTAAGCTCACGGACTTATCCGCCTTTTCACAAAAATGCAGATGAATCATTTTCCAGGAGGAATTTTCAATCCGGCATTTCATCGAACATTAAATAGACATTAAAAGTTTACCAGATTTTTTGCTCAAATTGCAGTATAACTAGCCCCAAAAATTTGTCAGAAAATCAAGGAAATTCAGTCCAATCGTCATATAAAGCATACGTATGCTAATTTTTAACAATCAGCGGAACAATTTCAATGAAACCAAACCACTGCCGACATGCTTAGAGAGCTTGGGAAGAAACTGAAATTCAAAGAAAAAGGGTCAACTTACGGAGCTCTTGTGTGAATAGCGGCAATTTGCTGATGGTGCTGAAGGATTCCTACGAGATTGTAGCAGTCTCAATTGTTCAGTCACTTTCTTTTGCTCTGTTTTCATCTCGTCCGCCGCCTTTGTTCTTACGGCTCCTCATCTTTCATTTTCCTCTGTTTTCTTTTCTCTGTTTGTTTTCTTCGGAAACGGCAACGGCCAGAGGTTGTTTAATCTCTTCTAACTCATTGATGGCGGCGGTGATGTGGGGTTGAGAACGGAGGATTTCTTCTGGCTCTTTGTTGAGGGTTTTGCCCAGGGAAAAGGATTTCGCCTTCCTCCGTTCCCACGAAGCTTCCCCCTTCTAATCTTTTCCTCCGATGAAGCACTCCCTTTTTCTTTCAACCCAGGCCCCCCTTTTGTTCCCCTTCTTTTCCTCTCCGCCGCCAACTTCATTCCAGATTTCTTCTTTCTCTCTCGCCGCAGCCTCCTTTCCGTAGCCTTTTCTATTTTTTGCCCGAAGCCTTCCCCTTTTCCTTGGCTTTTTCCGTTCCATTTTTCTAGTCGGGCAGCTCTCTCTGTTTTTTCCGT